CTTTCTGATGGTTCCTCCTATTGGTTTTAATTTTTACTTACAACTTCACTAATGTGAAAATATGTTTAATGGGTATGTAAATGTAAAGCCTATATCAGATTGTGTGCTGTCTTGGGGAGGGTGGTGGGGAGGAAGGGGGAGAAAAATTTTCAACTCAAAAGCATATGGAAGTGATTATTGATAAAGCAAAATAAATTAATAAAATTTTTTTTAAAAGGCTCCATTTATTGCTATGTTTCCTAGTGGTTTCAATAGGAATGGGTGTTGTATTTTATCAAAGGCTTTTTCTGCATCTATCTAAATAATCGTAGGTTTTTTGTTGGTTTTGTTATTGATGTGGTCGGTGATGCTCATGGTTTTCCTAATATTGAAGCAATCCTGTATTCCTAGCATAAATCCCACTGGTCATAGTGTGTGGTCTTTGTGATATATTGCTGCAATCACCTTGCTTGCTATTAATTTATTTAAAATTTTTGTATCAATATTCGTTAGGGAAATTGGTCTATAGTTTTCTGTTTTTGTTCTCCCTGGTTTAGGTATCAAAAATCATATTTTGTGTCATGAAAGGAATATGGTAGGATTCCTTCTTTATCTTTTTTTTTTTCAAATAGTTTATATAGTATTTGGATTAATTGTTCCCTAAATGTTTGGTAGAATTCACTTATGAATTCAACTGATCCTGGTGATTTTTTTCTTGGGGAGCTCAGTTATGGTTTGTTCAATTTCTTTTTCTAAGATAAGGTTATTTAAGTATTCTGTTTCCTCTTCTGTTAATCTGGGAAATTTTTATTTTTATAAGTGTTCATCCATTTCACTTAGATTGTCAGTTTTACTGGCATATAATTGGGCAAAACATCTCCTAACAATTGCTTTAATTTCATCTTCATTAGTGGTGCACTCACCTTTTTTATTTTTGATGCTAGCAATTTGATTTTCTTTCTTTTGTAAGGTCTAATTAACCAGTGGTTTATCTGTTTTATCATTTTTTCAAAAAACCAACTCCTACTTTTATTTATTTCAGTGTTTGTTTTTTAAACTTTCAATTTTATTGATCTCTCTCTCCTGTGTTTAGTATTTCCATATTGGTGTTTAATTAGGGATTTTAAAATTGTTCTTTTTCTACGGTTTTTTTGTTTTTTGGTTGCATGTACATTTCTTTGATCTGCTCTTTTCTCTCTTTTATTGCTATACATGTTTAGAGATATAAATTTTCCCCCAAGTATTGCTTTGGCTACATCCCACAAATTTTGAAATGTTATCTCTGTTGTCATCCTCTTTAATGAAATGATTGTTTCTCTGATTTGTTCTTTGACCCACTCATTTTTTAGGATTAGGTTATTTAGTTTCCAGTTAATTTTTAATATATGCTTCCATGACCCTTTATTGAATGTTTATTTTATTGACCCCTTGTTGAATTGAATTTGTTCCATTATGGTCTGAAAAAGAGTTCTGCATTTGTTGTAAGGTTTTTATACCCTATTCATGGTCAGTTTTTGTGAAGGTGCCATGTAAAACTGAGAAAAGGGTATATCCCTTTCTGTTCCTGTTCAGTTTTCTCCAGAAGTCTATCATATCTAACTTTTCTAAAATTCTTTTTATCTCCTTAACCTGTTTCTTATTTATTTTATGGTAAGATTTACCTAGCTCTGAGAGGGGAAAGTTGAGGTACCCTATTAATATACTTTTACTGTTTATTTCCTCCTGTAATTCATTCAACTTTTCCTTTAAGAATCTGGATGCTATGCCATTTGGTGCATTTATATTTAGTATTGATATTACTACATTGTCTGTGTTGGCTTTTAGCAAGATATAGTTTCCTTATTTATCCCTTTTAATTAGGTCTGTTTTTGCTTTTGTTTTGTCTGAGATCATGATAGCCACCCCTGCCTTTTTTACATCAGCTAAAACATAACATATTCTTCCCCAGACCCTTAACTCTATGTATATCTCTCTGTTTCAAGTGTGTTTCTTGTAAAAAACATGTTGTTGGATTCTGATTTCCAATCCATTCTGCTAACTGATTTTTTATATGAATGAGTTCATCCCATTCACATTCACAGTTATGATTACTAACTGTACATTTCCCTATATCCTGTTTTCTTCTGTTTCTTCTTCTTTTTCTCTTTTTATCCTGTTACTCCTCAAAAGTCTGTTTTGCTTCTAAGTCTGCTTTGCTTTCTTTTATCCACTGTCTTTTATTACCTTCCCCCTCCCCCTTTCTTTTATTCCTTTCCTTTCCTACTTCCCTGTTGGGTAAAATAGATTTCTACTTCCAATTAAGTATGTGTGTGTATACATATATGTATATATTTTTTTCTCCTCTTTGAACCAATTCCAATGAGAGTGAGGTTCAAGCATTGCCCATCCCTCCCCTTTCCTCCTTCACTGTAAAATCTCTTCCTTGTACACTTCTTTTATGAGATAATTTCCTCATTCTTCCTTTCCTCTTCCCCTTCTTTTGGGACATCCCTCTTTCTTGCCTATCCATTTTTTTTTAAACATCATCCCAACATGATTGACTCACTTTCATGCCATCTTTAAAAGTAGAATCTTTCTAACTGCCCCAATAATGATAAAGTTCTTATCTTGTATGTATCATCTTATCATATAGAAAAGTAAAACAGCAGAACCTTATTGAGGCCCTTATGCTTTCTTTTTCATGTTTACCTTTTTATGCTTTTCTTGAGTCTTCTATTTGAAAGTCAGGTTTTCTGTTGAGCTCTGATCTTTTCATCAGGAATGCTTGAAAGTCCTCTCCTCCATTAAATATCTATTTTTTCCCTTGAAGGGTTATACTCTGGGTAACATGGTAGCTCCTATATCTTGTGATCCTGACTGTGGTTCCATGATATTTGAGTGGTTTCTTTCTGGCTGCTTGAAGTATTTTCTCTTTGACCTGGGAGCTCTGGAGTTTGGCTTTAATATTCCTGGGGGTTTTCATTTTGGGATTTCTTTCAGGTGGTAATCGGTGGATTCTTTCTATTTCTTTTTTACCCTCTGATTCTAGTATATTGGGGCAGTTTTGCTTTATAATTTCTAGAAATGTGAGGTCCAGATTCTTTTTTTATCATAGCTTTCAAGTTGTTTAATAATTTTTAAATTATCTCTCCTTGATCTATTTTCTATGTCATTTGTTTTTCCAGTGAGATAGTTCACATTTTCTTAGATTTTTTTTTTCATTCTTTTGACTGTATTTTTTTTTTCTTGATGTCTCATGGAGTCATTAGCTTCCACTTGCCGAATTCTAATTTCTAAGGAATCATTTTCTTCAGTTGGCTTTTGTGCCTCTTTTTCCATTTGGCCAATTCTGCCATTCAGGGAATTATTTTCATCAGTGAAGTTTTTTGCCTCTTTTTCCATTTTTCAAGTTCTATTTTTTTAGGTATTGTTTTCTTCAGTAGTTTTTGATGCCTCTTCTACCAAGTCGTTAATTGTGTTGTCATAATTTTCTTCCTTTGCTCTCATTTCTTTACCTAATTTTTTTCTCTTTCACTATTGATTTTGAAAATAATTTTATAGCCCTTCCAAGAGTTGTTGTCAGGCTTGTGTCCAATTCATAGCTTTTCTCTGAGGCATTATTGTGGCTGTTTTGACTTCATTGGCTTCTGAGTTTGTGTCTTGATCTTCCCTGTTGCCATAGTTTCTTCCTGTGGTCCGATTCTGTTGTTGTTGTTTGCCAGGCACTGTGATAAGTGTTTTACAATTATTATCTCACTGACCCTCACAACAACCGTGGGAGGTAGGTGCTATCATTTCCCCCATTTTACAGATGAGGAAACTGCGGCAAACACAGGCTAAGTTAACTTTCTTAGGGTCACATAGCTAGTAAGTATCTGAGGCCAGTTTTGAACTCAGGTGTTCCTGACTTCGGGCCTGGCTTTCTGAAAGAACCAAATAATCACTCTTCACTGTGAAAATAAGTGGGGAAGAGAATGGATTGAGTAATTTTCTAATACTGGTTAACACCTTTATACTTCTGAAAATTAGTAAGGATGCCAACAAGCTTTTCATTTATGTGGATTATATCTTTTGATATTTGCTGTATTAGAAATTTAAACATGTTTGTATTATTATGAAATTAGTTTTGATCTTGCTGACCCTTTGAAAGGGAGTTGGGGACCCCCACAAGTTCCTGAACCTACTTTGAGAATCACTGATTTAAAGGATAAGCTTTGCAGTGTTTATTATCTGATTATCTTTTTTAAAGTCACTTATACAAACAATACTCCCTAGACCTATTTTATGGTTGATTTCATGTACTTATAAATTGCTTCCTCCTTCTTGGCACATTTTCATTACTTTATCACCGAATGGCCAATACCCCTATGTGATCCTCTCTTGCTTTTATTTCTTTCAATTTAATTCTGTTTTTTCTATCCTTCAAACCTTCTGAGTATATGAACACATTTCATATCAAAGCATATGTTTCACTGATTTTCAACAGTGGTGAATAGATATTCTTTGCCTCTTTGAGTTATGAGCTCTTGATTTGCTAATGTCATATGTATATATGCATTTTATAGATAGATATGAATAAAGTAACTGGGTGTGAGGAGAATTTGGTACAGCGTGAATATTCCCATTATTCTTAAATAGGGCTACCCTAGCTAGGGTTGGGGGGTTTGGAATGGAGTGTTCCCAGTGCTCTTGAGTTCCAGATAAATGATTTATGTATAAATCAGCTTTTTGAAACACAAGCTGTTGTTAGTTGGGCAGTACCTGTTCCCCAATTTTAACTTTCACCAAAAAGAGAGAATCTTTCTCTGTACTTCAAAGGTCTGAAATATCTAAGGTTTAGACAAACAGAAAAGAAATGCCAGGAAAAAAAGAGTCCTACCTTAATTTTTCTGATACCCAAAATGCAGATGACCGTAGGCAAAGTCTTCTAGTTAAATTGGGAGAAACTGTACTATTTGGAAATTTTATCAGAAGTGTTTCTTTGATTTTCTTTCATTTTTAAAATAAAACATTTTTTTAAACCATTTCCCCCCATTTTCTAGGAAGATCATAGTCCAACTGCTGCAACTGAGGAAAAACCCACTCCCACGGTAACCAGTAACCTCACTGTACAGGAATATTTTGCCAAACGAATGTTGGAGCTAAAGAACAAATCAACAGCCTTACACACAGCTTCTGCTGAAACCAAGCCTTTTGAAGAAAAAAGGACTGAACAGAAAAAAGAAAAGAAAAAAAGGAAAGAAGCCGAGGACTGGAATAGACCCAAGGCCAAACATACCAAAAAGGAGAGTCTGGAGGAAGAGGACGCATGGCATGCTGAGAACCAGGGTAGAGACTCTGATTGTGAGCAGTGTCTTGATGCTTATCCCCAGGAGAGACCAGTTTGTGATGAGCAAAAGCCTAGTACAGGGACCTCTGCCATAGAACTGAGAAAGAAAAAAAAAGAAAAAGCAGGAGGAAATTGTCATGGGATCTGTCAAAAATCAAACGTCAGAGAGGCGGAAGAAGAAGAAGAAGAAGAAAAGCCTTGAATAAAGAAGGTTCCTTTACTTGGACTTTATATCATTTGAATATCGTAATACTTTTAGTGCAGCCTTATGCAAAAAAAAAAAAAACAACCCAGCCCACAAAGAAAGAAAAAAGTCTTGGCCTGAAGTTAGAGCAGAGTTTACCCTAGATGATTTGTTCACATCTTTTAACATGCCCAAGGATTGCTGGGTCTCGCCCTCTCATCACATTTTTCCCAACTACCAAAATTCCCTGAAGAACTTGAAAAACAATCCAAATCATGTTCTCTGAAGCAAGATTATTTTTAAGACCCTGGATCCTTCATTGTTTATATATATGAGGGGTGGGGAGGGGTGAGGGGGAGGGTAGAGGAGAGAGAAACATAAGTGAGGTATATATGTCTTTGCATATGCACACACAGATATTTGAAATTTCCACTGCTTCCTTTGGCAATAATAAATTATGCTTCCTTTTAAAAGATTTGCTCTAATTAAAGGATTATAAGTCGATGCTGGAGAATATAACCAAATAGTTCCTATTGTTCTCTAGCCAACCAATACATTTGTACCAACTAGGAATTATGTGTTTTTGTTTTTTTAATTTCTAGTTCTTGCCCTAGGTTGGCTTTCTGAATGGGCATTTCTGTTGCTTCTCTTCCACTGATCAGTGGCTATCAAGCATTCCAAAGATTCTAGGTGACTTCAAACTAGAAGTCTTTAACTAGATTCTCTGTGTGGTTTTGGTCTCATAAGTGTTAGAAGAGACTTTTTGTGCCTACGTTGAATTTTACCCTTTCTGAGCTATTTGCATGTATTTGGTTGTACGTGATGCTGAATCAACCATGTCTTTGGAATAATATTGCCAGAACAGCCTTGCCCCAATTACAATAATCAGATATGCAAAATCTACCAAAATAAAATAAAAACTGAAAGCTAAAGATTTTCGCATTATTAACTTCGTATTGAAATTAACTTATTCTTTGGATTATGTATCTCAAGTCACTGCTATATGGAAGATCTCAAATTAAACATTAAAACTTTTTCTCCATTTCAACCTTGCTCAATCCTAATGGTATTGCTTCATTGTATTTTACAGTCTGTCACACCCTGTGGTATGTTTTGCTTTGTGTTAATTCATCTCTCCCCACTGTTGATTTACACAGATGACTAAGAAGTCACCTTTACACACTTACAGTACCCAAAACAAAATATTAAATGTGTGTGTAACGTCCAGTTCAGGTGCTGAGGTCTTCTCTCCTATATTTTATCTATCTTTTCCTCTTAATCTCCCTCTTCCTTTTTTTCTCCCTATCTCTCTATTTCTTTTCCCTCCCCTTCCTCCTTTACTCCCTCTCTCTCCCTCTAGTGACTCCTACTGTAGTTTTCATTTGCCATCGCCCCATTTCAGCATCCCTGGCAGTGAGATTGAGGGTATGTGACACAGGGTGGTGCAGGCAGATTATTGCTCTCTCCATTTAATTTATGGATTGCTGCTGGCAAATAGGAGTTATTAACTCACAACTCGGTGACCTTTTGGCCTTTAATTTAACTCTTGGGGTACATTAGAGGAAACATTGCTCCAAGAATCTTAATACTGAGAAAATACATGAAACATAGGATCATAGCTTTAGAGCTGGAAGGGACCTCAAGCCATCTCATCTACCTCTCTTTTTCATCTAAATGTATGTAGAAACTGAGAACCAGGAAGATTAAATTATTTACTCAAGGTTACATGTAGTGAACGTCAAAGAAAGGATTTGAACCCAGGTCCTCTGACTCCAGAGTTTAATGCAAAGACTGTTCAGTCGATTCAATCATGTTCTGCTCTTCGCGACCCCATTTGGGATTTTCTTGGCATAGATACTGGAGTGGTTTGCCATTTCCTTCTCCAGCTCATTCTACAGATGAGGAAACTGAGGTAAGCAGGGTTAAGTGATTTGCCCAGGATCACACAGCTAGAAAGTGTCTGAGGCCAGATTTGAACTCGGGAAGCTAAGTCTTCCTGACTTCAGGCCCAACATTCTATCCACCATGCCACCTAGCTGCTGTGCAAAGACTACATACATATGATTCCTATGAACTTAGAGATCAAAAATGGCTATCTCCTATGCTAAGTGTAAACCATGGTCAGATCTCAAAAAAAAAAAAACCCAAAAACTTCTTGTCACTTTTCATCATAGACAGCATTTGCCTAACTTATCTTTATTTGTCCTATCTTGTATATGAATCTTAAGTGTCTGAGTAGGGAACATGGGTATTTCAAACCAGAAAGAAGACTGCTTTTTCTTTTTTACTCCATTTTACTAGATTTAATCAATTGAAATGCAGCAACAAGAAAATCAACAGGAAGGAAGTTCTAGTGTGTGTCCTAGATGCAGATGAAGTGCATTTGGGTGGTGGGAAAAAATGTTTTTGGTCATTGGGAAAAGTTCTTAAAGTGAAAAGTTATTTCAGAAGGTGTGAGGAATCCATTTTCAGGTAATTGAAATCGTTTTAGAGATCATAGGTGTATCAGAAGACTGAGTAGTTTGGGAAAAGAGCGGTTACAGAATGTCATATTTAAGAGAGAGAGAGAGAGAAAAGTGATTTCTTCTAATTTCTGACTATTGGATAGTGAAGGATCTCGGAAGAGGTCTGTACTCCTTTCTGAGATAATAGTCCTTAGTGAGGCAGTTGGGGTTAAGTGACTTGCCCAGAGTCACACAGCTAGTAAGTGTTATATATCTGAGGTCAGATTTGAACTCAAGTCCTCCTGACTCCAGGGCCAGTGATTTATCCACTGTGCCACCTAGTTGCCCCAATAACAGCCCTTCTAAAGAACTAGTTTGCCCCAAGAAGACAGTTACTCTATTTTTCTTTCATAAGGTATTTTGGTGTATTTCTGCCATCCCAGATGGTTCATTTACACTTAAAGATCCTTCTGTGACCCAATCCTGTATTTTTTTTTCACTTTATGAATTCATAGTTGATCCAAAAGAATGGAAAGAGGGATGATACTATTAAAGGTGGATTCTATCATCTATTAAAAAAATTTGAGAAATAACTTTGCTTAGGGTTACTAATGTAATTCAGGTGAAAATTAGATAATTTTTCCACACCAGATTTTATATTCTGTGCATGAACTTGCAACAAGGTAGACAATGAAGGTTCGTTTTGGTTGTAAAGAAAGCTAATGCTTGGTGAGTATTTGGTGTTTTCATTTTCTCTAGAAAATGCTCAACTTTCATTCATCCCTAAAAGCCTGCCTCCCAATTAATTTTTTTCGAGATCTACAGGGCAGTTAGAACAATCAAGTAAAGTGCTTAAAGCTGTTAATATTAAACAGTTTACACTTTGTTCCCAAGGAGGTGTGGTTTTTAATCCATATTAATATAAGTGAAAATTAATGAATTCTGGAATTTTCAGTCCATTTTTTTCTCTTTTATCACCAACTGGTGTGGAATCAGTTTAAGAGAGCCTTTGTTTCTGAGCTTATGAGGTGATTTATTTCCATAAATAACCTACAAGTATGGAGAGAAAAAAAGGTTACCTTCTGATTCCTTGAAAGTATTAATAAAACTTTAAGAACAGGGCCAATGTGAGTACTTCCTTTTGCACCAACCATGGACCACACTATTGCTTCTCTACTTCACCTGTTCTTAGAGTCAAGTAACAACAAGCTGAAACCTGTTTTTTTAAAAAAAAAAACCAACATCTGAGAAATGTTTCAGTGCAGTCGACTTGGATGATTTCAGCCTCTTGATCACCAAGCATCTGTTTGTTGTATTTCTATTTGAGTAAGAACTTCCCCATTGCCGCCCTTCTGTTTGTCTTACGGGCTTCTGCAGCCACTGCATTTTGGAGCCTGGCGGTCCTGGGGAGGTCAGATTTAGACTCTGATTTCATACATTTATAATACCAGATTAATGACTAGCTAATTAGAATCATGTCCTAATATATAGGATAATAAAACACATTGGCAATGAAAGTGTTCTAGAAAATAATAGGCTTCGATGGTATGTTTCTGAAGCCTCAACAGAAATTAATAACGACATCACAAAGATTCAGAAAAACGGAACTGTGGTTGATATGCACAATGAGGTAGGGAGATTACATTTTGGAGCATATTTGGGTTGCCAAAATAATAATAAAGGAGCAACATCATTTTTAATATGGGCATGTCCAATGAAATCTATACCATAAGCCTCCTATGTCCATATGGGGGTGTGATGCTACATGCAATTCTTGTATGTAGATTAAATCATCATCAGTGCACTAATGTAGAAAAGGAACCTTACAGTGAATCCTTTTATAAAGGGAAGAATTATTTTGTAACAAGTGTATATTTTGCTTATTTAGCTTTCTTAACATCTTTTAATTTGTTTTGGGAAAAGCCCTTGATGGAATTCATCTTTTGGCCTTCCAACAGCCTGGATCTTTTTTATTCAGAGAGCCAACACACCATTTATTACATACCTACTATGTACTGAACATCATGCATGTTACTGGGGAAGGAATAAGATGTCATGACATAATCTGATATATCAGTTCTTGGTCTTGGGACCCTTTTACGTTCTTCAAAATTCATTTGATTTCTCCTCCCACCAAGAGCTTTTATAGGTTATATCTACCAATAATTTACTATATTAGAAATTATGACACCTTAGTATCATTATGGAAATACTTTTTACTTTGAGGACCCCCTGAAAGAATCTTGGGGACCATTGGGGTGTCCAGACCACACTTTGAGAACCACTGACCTAATAGGAAATGATACATGATAATATAAAAGAGGCATCAATAAAGTGCTCTATGATGTCTCCGGAGGGAAATTACCAGTTGGAGGCAAATAAGGTGGACTTTAAAGAATACGTGGGATTCTTTTTCAGTTGTTGACTAAGGCAGGACAGACAAAATTCTAGGAACAAGAAAGAGGTATGAGCTAAGGCACAAAGGCAGAAAAGTTGGAGACATGGAGAACATTGTATCCTATGTGATCGTAAACCTAGGCTGAGTGGATTTAAAAACATTCCCATCTTTTTATATATGATTCAATCTAAGAGGATTACCCTAAAATGAACCTAAAATGTGAGAGTAACCCTGAAATGGATCACTCATGCTTAGAATCATGTAGATCAACAGCAAAGGCAGCATGCTATAGTGGAAAGGAAAATAGCTTTGGAGGCTCAGGACCAGGGCTTTAATCCCATTTCTGCTATTTGAATACTATGTGACCTTGAGGAAGGTACTTAAGTCTTAGTTTCCCTCTTCTGTAAAGTGAAGAGGTTGTACAAGGTTATCACTAAGGTTCCTTCTAACTCTTGGTCCTGTGACCCGGGATTGCCAACCTAGAAGCATGTCAAGTCAGGCAGTTATTTTAACTCCTTGACTTGGCATTCCTTTGTCCCTAGGTGGGTGGCAAGATGTGACTGTTTTACCATTCCATTCCTGACTTTTTCCAAGGGAATGGGCTTTCTAATAAGATCTGACCTATGAACACTAACAATCTGTGTTTCTCAAATAGACAATTATATTTCCATTCTTGCAGAGGACATTAGGAATGTGTTCTCTAACCAAGGAGAAAGGATCTCCATAGTTAAATTTACTAACTCCAGCTTTTGAAAGTTTGGGAAGATGAGGCTAGTATCTTAAAGCTTTATAATATAGAAGTGTTCTTTTCTTCCCCCTCAACCTCTGTGAATTAAACAATCTAGCCAAGTAAAGGACTTCAATTGAGGCCTCAATACAAACTATACCATAGGTAAGTCAAAACATGAGCTCCCATATGGTAAATCTGAAGCTACCAATAAATTCCAAGCTATTTCCTATAGCCCCAGCTCCACCCCTGATTTGCTAAAATTCCTAACAGACAGCCTTGGTGCCCCCTTCCTGACTCCACTCAGTGCCTGTGTGGTACTTTTCTTCTCCCCATACATGCATCATCACCTATATGCCTCTGTCCTCCTGGTCTC